GTAACTCGTCACCCGTGTTCGTCGAGTTTTGACCCCGTGTTCTGGGACTCGCGCAAGACCTCATCTCACAGAAAACCTTCGTGACTCCGTTGTAACATTTGTTGGAAGAGTTCTACTCAAGGACGAGCTTCCATGAATTTCCGCAGGCATGTGAGCGACAAAACAAAGAAAGACACAAGCTCTCTTTGACTCTCTTTGGTGAGCATCGTCACCTTGTCGATGCTGTCGCAGCCAGTCGAGGCACTTCGTCGCCGCTATCACCGTGAACTAGCGAATCGGACGTTTCCGCAGCCGATCGAAGATCACCGTTATGCAACGGCAAGCGATGGATGACAGTCCGAGCCCATAGGCAGGAGGACGGCCGCCCGTTCTGCGGCTAGACCGCTCATCTTTTCGGTGAATACTGTCGGCCAAAACCTCCATTCCCGTTCTATGGAAAAACGAGACAATCGAGGAACGTCTGACTGACGGTTTCATTTAGTCGCCAGAGAATGGTCGACTCTTCAAAAACAGTTCTTAACAAAACGCAGCCTCCGTCGATTTCGATGTGTATTTTGCGTGCGTCAGAATGCATACGAGTTTCCGGGTCTTGCGCTCAACTCCTGGGGCTGTTGCTACCGGCGAAGGCATGAGCTGCAGCGCTGAACACATCATTATGACGCTTGCCCACAACATCTGAACATGTGAGTGGTAATCTGGACCCGCGTAAGTGTTGCATCATATACAAGAACAGATTCGGACTTGTTCCGCGACTCCGGGTCGTGCAGTAGTTGTTCCGATCGGAGATTTGAGGACTCGCGGTCACCAGATCTTATAACAGCATGCGATTGCTGCGACATGACAACGTTCAGACAATACCGTCGGAGCGAGGAGTGTTCCGGAAAAATAGGTTCGCGTATACTTTCCTCGATCGTGATATCCTCCCGCTATCCGAGTTCTAGGGACGCCTCATTACATGCAGCGTACCGCCACTTGTTATTCGGCTTTCACCAAGTGGAACGATATGGCTTTTGACCGGGAAGAAGCCGAAACCTCGTCGGCTGGCTTGCAGGCCAGCCTGTCGGTCAGCCGGGCAGTGCTTTTCCACGCAGCAGCGGTGACTCGTGTTTCAATGAAGATAGCGGAGGATGTATTTATTGTTCTTCTATTTTACTTTTTTCATTTCTCATCCGTCGGCTCTCCTTCTAAAACGGGACCCTTCGCCGCAAGCACGCATCCAGATCTGGCGATGATATGGTCTACGGCGTTTCTGTGAGCTATAATTTCCCCTCATTGTTCTTCGTTTGTTCCGAGGAGGTATGGGTAGTATATGGCTCCGTATGTGAGTTAGCTATGCTATGTGAGTTAGCGTGAACCTGTCTCCGTATACGTCACGTTATAGACCTGTTGAAGATTGAATGCATGCCGGAGGAGGAGAAGCGGCGAGTGCGATAATGATTTCGGCCATCCTCACGCGTGAGGTGTCTGTTCAACACTCCCCCGCTCCTCGAACATAGGCAGGAGACGAAGAAGATGGAGAAAATGACGTCGCTGAACAAGAAAAAGACGATGCGGCAAAAAAGCGATTTTTGCCGAAACCATTTTCAGCTGTTCGTCTTCAATGGCGTCGTCTCCGTGATAATCTTTTCGGGGTCGGCGAGTGCTTAACCCTCTTCAACAACGGCAGGAGCAGCAACGGCTTCATCATCAGCATCCATGTCGACGACAACGATGACGACTATTGGAGAGAAGAGGGATCACACAGAATACACTGTGACGAACTGCCTGTCCGCCTGTCTATGAGTCGGTCGGTCGTCCTTTCGTTTGTCCCCTCTCCATGGGACCGACCGACTGAGAACGACGTGCCCTGTTAACTATGAGACGCTTTTCCGATGTCTCGAGTTATCCGGTTGACGAGGAAGTCATTCCGGAAAGCATCGCTTACTGACTTTCGATGACGACCACCACGAACACGACCCATTCGGTCCGCGACGACCCTCGTAAACATCGATGGATGCAAACAAACGTAGAATGGAGAACCATGAATCAGATGACTTATCGTTAAAAATACTCCGCATACGTTTATCGTACACTTTGAGGGGGGATCGTCGGCGCGTAACAAGCGATTTACGTGTGCGTAGGGTTAGAGCAATAAAAGTTGGATGCGCGATGTATTCGTTTTCAAGCTCCACGAGAGAGGGGGGAAGGGAGCTTCTGGACATCATCATGATGCTAATAATGTCGCTCACGAACGGCACCCTTCGTGAGCATCTATTTTCTGACTGAGTCGAATACAATTTGCAAATACGAATGCTCGAGAAGAAATTAAATGCGGAAGACTGAGATGCGAGCTGAATTTCGCCCTTTTCCTTCGTAAGAAGAACGCGCGAGACGCATCTCATGAGCTTACGGGGAGGAAACTAACCCCTGGCGTACGTCCTACTCAGGCGCTGGACGGACCTCGTACCGAGTGATTCCGGAACAGACGCTCGTACCACCACTAAACGATGACCGTTGCCTTCCTGAACACTGCAGAAGACGTAATCGGAATGGCGAATACCGTTGTGGATTCGTTCCCGCCAGACGATGCACAATCGGATGACAATTATCTTAATTATACCGGTGAGGTCGCGGAATTACTCTGCTCGGTACTCCCCCGCAAGAAGCCGGCTCGAGCTCCCGCCCTTACCGTGCGTGACCCCTGCGCGAATCAGTTCGCCGACTGACTGGAAAATTTCGCCGATGCTTCGATCTCTCGCTCTTCGCGCGCGAACAATCTCTTTTCAGTGCTGTATCGGAGCTGTTCGTCTTCCACCGCAGAAGACCCGGGCTGAGCTATTCTTTCTTCATCAGAATTCCTCGGATCTTCGGGGTCGCGCGCGGTGCCAGACCGTCTGACCGTTTTTCTTCTGCGTATACCTGATTCTCAACGAGCGGCAAATGTTTCGAAACTATCGTCTCGGGACGTATCGTGTGATAAAATTGTTTTTAAGCGTCAGCGTCTTCTATTTTAGAAAACTCCGACAATTGGGAACGACGAGTCAACAGCGAGCCGAATCGCGTAGCGAATACAGAACAGATCGTTTACGTCGATTCACACAAGACAACGACATCGTAGCCAACAAAGAAAACGTATCTCACAGTAGAAGGTAGGAACCGTTCAGCCGTCTCAGTCATACGCTCAACAACTGACTGAGTTGGTGAACGATGTTCTGCTTCCGAAGCGACTGGTCTCGGAGCAAAACCGGACGTATCGTACTTTGAGTACCCCTATTCTGGAGCTGACATCATTTCTCCTGCCTCGGCTGTGATGAATGAGAGTAAGGCTCTTCGGATAGAGTGATGATTAGCGCATGGTTGGCCGTTAACCCACTTCCCGTTTGATTCTAGCGTTTTCTAGCGTTGACTTAAGGTGGATGCGAAGGTGGTCGGATCGGGGAACTCAAGCGTTTTTTCTCGGTCCAGTGAAAGAAAATCCCGGCGTTATCAATTGCCGACACAGATGTTGCTGCCTTTCTTTCGGGCACCCGCTCGAGAACACAGAAAAGATCTCTGGAATATGGACTAGCCGGACCAGTAGTGTAACTGAACCGCGAACTCGAGTCTCGCGCGGGCATTCTCTCGTGGAAGATTTCCTCGACACCCTCGCAGTTTCCAAACTCCCCGAAGCGAGGCCTCCGATTCGGCGCAATCCGTCTGATGACTTGACGAACCCGCCCCATCTTCGTCATTAGTGGACAAGTCGAGCTGATGTCGCGCTTGTTGCTGCTCACATCATTGCGGTCGGCGCTGATGCCGTTAGGACCGTCTACGTAACTGGCCTCCGGCAAAAAAGGAAAAAATGACATTTTATGTGATGAAAAAATCATCTCTGACAACGGAGCAAACTAGTCGTGACCTAGACGTTGATGTGCGATGGAAATGTCATCCAGAATCTTAAACAGCGTCTCTTAGCTTGAATCAAGCAATTCGTAACATGAACTTGGCGGTAACGTCTCCTACCATTGACGAAAAAAGCCTCGGGTGCGGACGCTTGAGCTATTCTTGGTGTGGAAAGCGATTTGCTCTTTGTTTGGAGCTCTGAGTTTATGTCCGTGAAAAACTAAATTCATTTGGTACCGCGGGGAAAGCAACTTCAGTCTTAGGACCCGTCAGATTGCCCTGAGTTCGAATTCCGCCCTGAGTCGAACACCTGCGATGGAACCACGCATCATCTTGCGGGGGAAATGAGCGAGGAATCATCCCATCGATGTACAAGTCCTGGACGTTTCGGAACACAGCATGAGCTTATCGCCCGACGCTCGCATTTCCGAAAATGGACGGCGCTGAGTGATCGGAACTTATACATATATGTAGAAGTGCAGACAAGCGAGCCCATAATCCGAGAAAAGTTTCGGTTCCACGCATTTTAAAGAGATGGACGATAGAAGAGAGTTTTTTTTTTGCAAAAACTAAAACTTCCAACATTTTATTCACATCGGTCTTTGTCTTTCGTTGTCGTTTCCACTTCGTCGATTGCTTCAATCAGTCACATGTTCACTGCTGTTTTGTCGCTTTGGTGGAAAAATAAATATTTTACATCATTTCTCCTTCTGCCTCGGTCGGACTTACCCGACAGCGAATCATTCAAAGTAGTTTCGTTCGCAGTCGAACAGAGCCCGTCACGCATCCACGCACTCTCGATTATAATTATGTACAGAGAATCTACATCAGTTCGACCTAGGAAGTTATGCTCTTTCCGGGCTCTGATCCTCTTCTCGCTCGAATAACGCTCCTCAGTTCGAGTCGCTCTCCGTTGTGCATGTAAGAAGACCTTCCCCGAAACAGCCCTGAACAATAATCTCTCCCATAACATCTTATATACACCTCGCATCATGAGGTTTCGGGAAGCCTCCTCCTCCTCCTCTTGGAAAATCTTTTCGAGCAATCGCGGACTCGCATCGAGAATTCCCTTGCTCTAACACAGTCTTTGGACGCTCTGTTCAACACGGCTCGCTTGGCTCATCTAGGGTTTGATCGAATTAAAAATACACCGTTACGTCCTTGGGATTGTGTCTGACGTTCTGGTGGTAGGGCGCGACGCTCACATCGGGATCTAGGGCAGTTTCGTTGGCGAACTCGTCTTCCCAACTTAGTTTCTTGACCCTCCTGGGTATCGAACCCAGAGGCCACTCAATGCGACTTGAGTTCCCAGAGATCGGAAGTCGCGGCGTCCGGGAGTTTCCCGGAGGACGACTGACGAGTCTCTGGAAACCCTCATGAGCAACTTCGTGTTCACTCGTTGACCAGGTATCTTCTCGTTCATTGGTGAACATCGGGTTTTCTACACCTGGTGGCCTTTTGGGTCCGACTACTTTGTTGGGTTCGAGCGTGGGCCGGGGCGGCGGGCCCCCGTTGAGTCCATTGCCGTCGATCACGACCGGCAAGTGATTTCTGTATTTCTTGTTCTTGAGAATATAGAAGACCATTGTGATTATGATGAGGACGAGGATGCCCAGAATCACACCGAATGCCGCCGGCAGGATCAGCGCAGAGTTCCGGAAAAGACCGGACGCCGCTGCAGCGATTTCCGGAAGCCGAACGGTCACTAGACTCGTCGATCTTCGAGGTGGAACTCCGTTGTCGATGGCTACCACGATCATGTGCGACGTGACGTTAACTTGATCGGCGTTTTTCAGCCGGATTTCCCCACGGTCATTCACGTAGAAAGCGTTCGAGTTTGGGCCTTCGAGAGAGTAGCTGATTTTGTCATCTAGATCACCGTCGGTACACTTCACCTTGCCGACGAGTTCTCCTGGTTTGGCGTTGCTGGGCATAATGAAAGTGTACTGAGGGAATTCGAAGACCGGATCGTTGTCGTTTGCGTTGAGGATCGTGACATTGATGCGAGTGGAATCTCGGTCCTTGCCGTCGGTGACGAACGCCTTCAAAATGTACTCACGACGAACTTCGTAATCGATACTCTTCTGGAGGTAGATCTCGCCCTTGGCTCCCATCGAGAACGTGGCGACGTTGCGTTCGTCTTCGGCCACCAGTTGGAATTTGAGATTATTTTCCGTGGACTTTGTCGTTTGCAGACGCAGAATCACCTGACCAGGAGGAGTGGATTCGACCAGAGGTACGACGTATTCGCGTTGGAAGAACTTGAGCTCGTGCGGGAGGAACTCCGACGACGCTACGGTGAGCGTGGTCAACGAAAACTTCTCCTCATCGTTCCGCTGAGTGGCTCTAACAACGAGAACTATCGGAAGCTGTGTGTTCGGCGGAAGTTTCCGCGTGAGACTGACTTGAGCGGTGTAGGGATCAATCGCGAAATATGAATATTCAGCCCTGTTCGAACTGAGAGAATATTTCACCGGCGCTCGCAGACCCTCATCGGGGTCGATTGCCTGGATTTTCGCGGGAAGCACTTCGAGGGGCTCCTTGATTTTGGGATCCGGGGGCAAGTTCAACAAGTAGCGCTCGTGCAGGAAGCGAGGATTTTGATCGTCGGCGTCTACGACGTGGATCGTGAGATTGGTCCGGGAAACCATCGGTGGATTACCCTGATCCTGAACCCTGATGGTCACGTTGAACATCGGCGTCGTCTCGAAGTCTAGCTTCTCGACCAACGTCAACGTGCCTTCGAGGCTGTTCTCAAAAGCTACGAATTTGCTGAATTCCGATCGCTCGATGAAATACTCGACCGTCGAGTAGGTTCCGGGTTGATCGGCGTCAACTGCGCGTATCAAGCCCTGTGAGATTATGCTTCCGGGAACCGTGGCCTCCGACACGTTCAGAGAGTACGGAACTCCCTGGAACTTGGGCGCGTTGTCGTTGACGTCGGTGACGATGATACGTATCGGAATGGAGATCGTCAGGTCGTTTTGGGGAGCACAGACAGCTTCCGCGGTGAAGTCCTTCAGCCCATCCTCGCCCTCCTTGTCGAGTTTCTTCTGAAGTATGAGGCTCTTGTTCCTGAACACCACGGCGTCGGAGTTTTCGATCGTTAACGTTATATCCCTGCCGACGTCGCCGTAGACTTTGACCGCCCCGATTTCTGAACCTATGGTCAAGTCCTCGCTCACGGTGAACGTGACCGATGACGCTCCTGAAGCAAGATAACAGAAGTTATCCTTCTCCTGAGCGTAGCAGTCGGCCAGCAACGCGAGCAAGATCAAGCCCAGGGGTTTTCGCTTGTTGATCATGACGGTCTACTATCGGACGAGCCCCAACGGAAACTCTAAACCAGCTGGCGACATCCGTGCTACTCGCACTGAGAACAACGTCAACAACGAGTCATTCTTTCTTTTCACGAGCTCCTTTGTGTCGGCAGACTGTCTGGCTTGCTGGCTGAGCGGATAGCCGACCGAAAGGAACGTCCAGCAGACCGACCGGCGATAATAATTAAAATAGGGTCGTGAGCCGTTTCGCTACGCTGGCCTTGTAAGAAGAGGAGTTTGCGGATCGTCGCACTCAGGATTTTGACCCCTTCCTCCACCACAGGTGGGATGTGGTGTTTCGGGAGCGCGAGTCCTTATCGACAACTCCCTCAGAATTCGTCTTCTTCCGATGTAAGATCCTCGTTTCCACCCTTGTAGTCCAACGGGAGGTCGCGGAGCGCGATGAACACTAATCGATAAGATGAAGTTTTGGCACTTGAATGAGAGTCTGAGTAATCCTTGGGGTGGCACTTCACGATTTTCCTAAGCACTCTGAGAAATCATTCGCATGTATCCTCGGGAGAAAACTCGACGTAAACACGCAATTTCTACTCGTTTTGTTGGAACTGTTCTTCGGCTCACATGACAGACCGGTCGTGCACTTCGACAGATCGTTCTGCTGTGAATCATGGTCCCGCCACAACGAGTCCCCGTTGCCGCGGTGATCACGGTGAGAGAGAGCCTCGGGTCGAACGGCGCCCCCTAGCGTCGGAAGGAATCCCCGCATCCACTGAAGTCTTATGCGCGGCTAAGCCGTTTTTCTGTGTGGTTTGAGACCCGCGCAAAGGCTCGGAACGCGAGCACCGAGTCGTATGAACAAGAACAATCGACAGATCCGGATTCCCCCGCACGAGCCGAAGCTCTCCAGGAAGTTTTCCAAAAAGTATTTTTTCCGAGTGATCTTTGGGATTCAATGGCGCCAACGGCTTGTCCCATGGCCTATGAACAAAACTAATGCTCTCAACCGATAATCCGGCCGGTTTGCAGTTTGAGCACCTAAGTTCGCTTGTGCAAAAAAGAGCTTCCGGAGAATGCAGTAGAGGGACGATTGCTCGTCCGCAGCGGGACGCGAGTGTTCATCCCCATCTTTCTCCAGAGACGATCGCGGTTCGAGAGAGCGACTCCCCACGGCTCTCCGTTATTCAATCCAAAAGTATGGACTATCCTCCATGTGGATTTCTGGAGAGACCTCATGGAGAAGGAAACCAAAGTCCCGGATACGGAAAGGCACCGAAAGAACGAATGGACGATGTGTCGGTCCACTGTCGCCGAAAGCTGCGTACTCGGACCGTTCGGTCCCGAACCGGGCTACGTTCTCACGAGTCTTGCCGTACGCTTCAGAGGAGGCCTCTTTGTGAACACATGGCTCGTCTGTACGACAGACGTTACGTTCAGAGACAGGTGCTCCACCGGCAAATCCCAGCTTACTGATAGCTTTCGGACGGTACAGAAAGGACTCGAGTCGTCGGAAGCTCCCGAGCCGCAGGAATCGTATTGAGCTTTGAGGCTCATCGGATTTCCTTTCTATTCATCGATTTGCTCGGAAGCGATGGGACCTTCTAAATATTTCCTGCTAGTGATAAGTCCGGCCCGATTAATCGAGGGATCAGAGAACAAAAACGAAAGAGCCGCGTTCATTTCGGCTTTCGCATTGACTTCTCTACGCGATGGAAAATCTGTCGACATCCCTTGATCGTCGAATTAAAATACGGGCTGTCACGGAGCTCGCATTCCGTCCGTGACGCACCTTAATCGAAGCACTTTCGTTAAGTGCCTTCTCGATCGGACGATAGAAGACGTGACGGCTGTTGTAAATTTTCAAAAGGAAAACACATCAAATATCGCCCGCTTCCGATTTGATTGGTCTTCATATACGATCGGCGAACACAGCCCAAATGTTACGGATGGTCCGAGCAGTTTCCATTAGCGCCTCGGTGATTTTAGTGAAAGGGAGGATTTGGCAACCGTTACATTAGGCATTTTCTCGACGCGCCCGTAAAGGAACGGGTGACGATTATTTTTCTCCTGTGAAATTTCACGTATTGGCTCCGAATGTTCGCGGCGATGATCGAGAGCTTCCCAATCGAATATCCGGGCGATTGCGAGCGAGGTGCCTGCGCAGCACAAAGATCGCTGAAGGTGCATCAAACCCGAACCCCGAGGGAACCTGAATCCTCAGATCGGGCTGTCTTGACATTTATGACCAGTTTCAGTGCTCTTCATTTGATACCTTCTTACCAGTCGGTGGGAAAATTCTGCATTCTGAGTGCGCAATGAATGTCACGTGCTACGAGTAAATGTTCTGACATGAGATCAGTCATTATGACGATTGGCAAGTTGTCTTGAGATCCTAGACTCCATGAATGTGTGAGGCATTGGAGGAACTTCTTCCAAGAGGGGCCGGACAGGGACACAGGATATGACCATGGGGCAATTCGCAAAGATTGCTGGAAAATCGCTGAAGTTGTCCGCTCTCTACATAATTTTTACCGATCCGGCCCAACCACGACTACTGAAAAGATGGATAGAAAAGTACGTGAATTTGGCAGTGGAACGGAACGTACGGCCTCGACACAAACAGGTGCTCTTCAAGAACAAGCATCGCGTGAAGTGGCAACTCTTGATGAACACCGTGAGATTCAAATTTGTCTTACAATCGAGACGAACAAAAAACAATGACCACCGAATCGTTCTAAGGTGCTACACTTCAAATAAGATATATCCACTATTGAAGTCAGCATGTGTCCAGGGCCAAGAGGGCGACAGTTTTGAACAGGACGGTCTACCTCGAGGAAGCACGGAAGTCGCTCCTCGAGTCCGAGCCTATAGGTCATCGGCATCGAGATATATCCTTGACAGAATCATTCCGACTCAATCAGACGGTCGCAAAGGAAGATCAATTTTCCGGGACGGTGGCGGGAGTGAGGAGCCGCTGAGCCTGCATGCATCCAGGGGGCAATGCGACATACACCTCGGAGAAGTGAAAAAAAGAGAGTTTAGCCGATCCGCGCAGGTCGACGACCGCAATTTCACAAGCGAAAGTTCCCGGATAAAGACTCTACCTATCAGAGAACTAGCAATTACCAGATCCAATGGAACTGGTTCACATCGTAAACGCGTGGTTAACTGTGACCGAGGTCACGCTAGTCAACGTGGATGCAATTTGGAAGTGAGTGAAGCTTCGAACATAGATTCGTAAACCGACATCCAGGAGACGGATGAGTAGACGATAGCATAGTCTTCGAATGAAGCACGGCCAGAGAGGGGAAAGTCTGTCACGATCTGATTGAAATCTTCAAGCGCATCACTAAGCAACGGGAGCACTGGGCGAAGTAAGTCGGCCATTAAACTCACCTAATCGCTCCGAATATGTCATCAAGTCGCTTCCGACGTTGCGGTCTTGCCGACTTTCCCGGGGGCGTCTCCGCGAGATCATCCGGTCAGAGTCCAGAGTGTAATGATTTTCCATGATTCACAGGGCAATGGAGCCGTCGGTCCGCATTGGGACGTCGTGCCCTGCTCCTTAGTTCCGAGAAAGTTGCGGCCCCAGAGAATATTCTCGAAGGATACGATTTTCAGGTTTCGACGGGATCAGGAGACAGAAATGTACGATACGACTTCGGTGTGACGATCGAATTTTGATTCGTTCCGATTCTCCTCAGTGATCGGTGGCTCTATCCGGGACGTCTTCAGATCGGCGTTTTCCATCTCGATTCCCTCCCTTTTGAATGTTCTCCGGGAGAACTCGCGTGCCATGTGTCGAATGCGTTTTGAATTATTCATCGATTCGAGGCAGCAAACGTAACGAATCGAGAAAACCAATAAATATATATATTGAGCAAGGAAGCAAGAGGGACAATCGATCAATCGAATCTAGGAGCTCCCTGCTGCCCGCCACGAACGCAAAGGGGAAGAAGTCGAAGTTTTTCACAATCTGTGAGGATGAATCGGGGCGCGATTCTGATCATTTCAAACGTTCTTGTCACAATACGGACCGTACTGTCTCTTCATTTCATTTTCTCTGCGGGATTAGAGTTATGCGATGACGTCCTTGAGATCCCTCACGGTCTGTTGTGTCTGACAGCTCAGTCGCATTGTTTCTCGCTTGTTGCAGCTGCCGTACAATCCATACAGCTGATTACTATTTGACATGAAGTCATAGAAAACGCCATTACGATCAGGACCTGTGGCGGTGAGCCACATGGTGCACTGCGAACGATTCCGGCTGCACCCATTTTATTTCGGAGCGTTTAGCGGATTGAGGATCGTCAAGGTGGAAAATGCGGTAGGATTCGAAGAACACGCCTTCATTTACGCAAACGGTGGACTCCAGGCTACTCTGAGAAACCGAAGCACCCACGAAGCAACTGTTTTAGAAAATACAGGGAACAGCCCGCCTCATACGATGAGAAAACTTGAGATCAGAACTTGCATTCAGAGGCATAACGGGAAGCTTGCTTCAGCTGCATAACTTGACGAGCATTGGCTCACTTAGCCGACATAGATACGCGACAGTCGTCCGTCGGAACTGGACCAAGCATCCCTTGACGTAACATCGCTAAGGCGACTACAAACCCTGATTTACGGAAAAAACGAAGACGACCGTGCTGGTCATGGGATTTTTGTGATTCCGTCTATTTGCCCGGATGCGCGTGGAGTAGTCGGAACCCGAAATTATCGAATAAATACATAGAGCTAACCAGTGGAACAATGTCACCATGGTGGAAAGCTGAGCTGCTTCGCATCCGAATTGCAGTCGGCAACGACGTCGACGACAACGATGGAAAAGACGGAAAAAAGTAAATGTTGGTCGCGAGGACGATTGCGGACGCCTCAGCAGCGCCTTATCGGATCCGTCAGTCAGGGTAAGCTTTTCCCCATCGTACAAAATCGGGAGGCGGGCATGACGACTTGCCTTAGATAGAAAGCTGCTAATCACATGGAAGCCGCCTGGAGAGGAACTCAGGATCCGATTGTCTCCAGGC